ATTAAAAAAAAAAAAAAAAAGGTGAATGGGGGAAAAAGCAAGAAGGTAGGACATACAGACACTCAGAGACAATAACATATAAGGCCTGGATAGAGTAGGGTGAGGGCCTTATCAACAGTACTAGATGGAGTCCATGCAGAGTGGAAGATAAGCCTGGCAGAGAAACTGTTTTTTCTTCAGTTGTCAAACAAACAGCCGAAGCATTTAAGAGAAAAAGGATGACATAAAGTTCTGGAATATTCTTTTCATGGCTCTTATAGGTCCATTCAGAGGGGAGATACTTTGGCATCAAGTTCCTGTTGCTTCATTCTTTGGAATAGACAATTTTTCCTCATCTTCCTGAGCTTCCTCATGAGTCCTGGCTCCTCATCACTGTTGGACCCAAGTGAACTGCTCTGATTTTTCTTCTACAGCACAGAGACAACCTGAGTGGAGACTGCATCCACCAGCCCTATTTTACAAGAGAAAAACCTGAGACTAACCATGGACGCCATCTAGTGGTGTTCATTGGTCACTCACCCTATTCCAGCCAGGCTCTATGTATTGCTGTCTCTGATCCTCTGCATGTGTTCTACCCGCCGGCTTTATTCCCCGTCAGACCTCCTGAGGCAAGTTGCCTTTAGGCCCTTCATCATGTCCAGCCCTGAAATCTCCAGTCCCATACTGTAGACCTTCACAAGATTTTGTTGTTGCTATTTATTACAAATTACACTAAGATGCACTTTCTGAGAGACATGTACAAATGATCTGCAATTTAGGATGTTTTCATTTAATGTTATTTTGACTTCTGTTTTCCTAACTTTAAGATCCTCAGTTTATCAGAACATAACCACACTGTAACTTAAGGAGCATCTATGTGCCAAGAAGGATAGCCAATGACACTAAAAATGTCCTATTTGAAAGTCAGGATAAAAAAAAAAAAAAATATTTAGGTCCAGGGCTGAAGAGAGAGCTAGGTGGTCTAAGCACCTGCCAGGGAAGGCAAGGATGAGGTTTGATCTCTGATACCACATGCCATGCTTGCTCCCGAACCCCAAGCCCTCAGTGCTGACCCCGAAAGGTGGCACACGCCTGTAATCCCAGTTCTGGGAAGGCTGAGACAGGAGGATCGTTATGAGTCTGAGCTGCATAGCGAGGCCCTGTATCAAATAAATAATTTTTTAAAAAATCTGCATCCATGTTTCATGTTATGAAAAGGAACTTACATGTGGTTTCGTTTTGTCCTTGTTGCTAATCATCATTCATCACGTGGACATGAACTTCCTGGAAATAAGTACACTTCAGTGTTCTAGGGAGGCAGCATTTCCAGGGTGCTGTGTTTCTTTGTGATTTCTAAGCCTTCTGCAATGAGTATAGATACCTTTTTGTAACTATAAGGAAACAAAGTTTTTCTCTTGAATAAATGAAGAAATAGATGTAGATGAAGAATTGAGGAAGAGGGCTTGGTCCTTGTCCAAGTGTTGGTCTGTAGAAGGGAAAGCAGGAGACTGAAGAATAAGTATGCGATGCTGGCACCATGTTTCTCAGGTTCTGTGGGGAAGGCAGGATTCTCGGAAGAAAATGTTAGTTGGCAAGGCCAATAGAAGTCTAGAAGTGGTTGGTGAGGGACAGGTACGGGCATCCAGCTGCAAGTGAGTGCCCACAGCATGGGTGTGTGTGACCACACTGTAGTCCCGTGTGAGGAAAGAGAATCAGCTGACAGTAAAGCACAGAGATCAACTTAAGCTGAGGCTGAGCACACCCACTAGAGAGGGGCAGGAGAAGGGCACAGCACCAGGGCAGCCCAGACAGAAGAGAAAGAGGGGCTGGCAGGGGCTTACTTTCCCTTCAGAAAGTAAGGGAGACAGAGCCTCAAAAGAAAGGTCTAAGCATAGCCTACATGAGTTCAGTGATGACTTTCCATCCAGACTGATAATGTGAATGGTGTGGGTGGCTCAAGCAGGGATGGAATAACAGCACAGTCACCACTTAGGGTACATGCAGTGCGCATGCGCTGAGCAGTGGCTATGTGCAAGATGCTCATGCCGGTTGTTTTACACACCTCAAAGATGGTTCACTGAGTCAATGGTAATATTAACCATCTTTCTTTGTGCATCGGGTGTTTTGATCTGCAAGGTTCAGCTGACTAGAAAAACTTCTACCCCCAGAGTCCAACCCATCCAGTGCCCACACCCCAAACAACTCTTATTACTGTTTCACACTATGCCCACTATGCACCTACTTGAATCACTCAGAATCAGCCTTAGACAGCTAGAAAGACTCTATGTCGTTAAATCTCAAAAAACAAGTCTAACTAGCCAAGCCTAAGCCAGCTTCCTCTGCCTCCTCTCTTGCTGCCAGTGGAAACCACAGTAGAGATACTTGCCCCCACACACAACCTCCTTTCTTCTCCCTCCTTATCGAACAGGGCGCTTCCCCATGTGCTCCCTCCCGTAATAAACTACATTTCCAAGAAACATGGGATCCTGTCCTGATTTTGCTATAACCCAAGTTTCCTATCAATACACTCCATTTAAAACTAATCCTTTTACTCTTCCCTTTCCTATACTTCCTCTAGACCAGGCATCACATGTCATGAGCACTTTACACAGTGACATCATTTTACTTTCATCACAGCCCAATGAAGGCTGCACTATTGACAATCTTTTAGTAACTTATATGTCTTTATTTGTTCATTTAGTTAGTTAGGTTTTTGAGACCAGGTCTCATTGTATAATTTGTTGCTCTCGAACTCTCTGTGAAGCTCAGGCTGGCCTCAAACTCACAGTGCTTCTCCTGCCTGAGCCACACAAGTGCCAGAATTATAAGCATGCGTCACCACAGCTGACTCTATCTCTATTTTAGATATAAGGTAATTTACACACAACTAAATTAAATTCATTTCCCCAAAACACACAGTGTGGAAGCATATAACTATGATTCTTAAATTGATGCCTTAATCCTGCTAATAGCCCTCCATGATTGGGTCAAATCTGGAATAATAATGAAAAGGAAAATAAATTGAGCTCCTTAATTCCTCATACATAAAGGCATGAGGGTATTTTATTGCTCTTTTGCACTGGAGGCCTGAAGCTGACCTGTCAGCAGTTAAAACATGCAGAACAGTCAGATTTAGCTGTCAAAATCTAAGTACAGACAGGAAGGACTCACCCCAAACTGTGAAAGTGGTGAAAAAGGAGAAGGCCAGAGCACAGACCCACATCTTGGAAGGACAGCAGCTCTGGGGCCAGTGAGGTTTCCAAGCTGCTTCCAGAGAGTGCACTAGCCCCTCCCCCAGAGCATGAGACCCACCTCCAAATCCTGCCCATCCAGCCCAATTGCATAATTTAAAGTGACTGAAATGTTTTCCTTTTTAAACCTCCCTGATGCCCACAAGACCATGCCCAACTAGAGTTTGCCTTGTGTTATTTGAATAGTCAGTATTCAACTCTCAGATTACACAGACCAGAAACTCATCCAACAACCTCTTATGTAACAGTCTCCCTCTTGTAGCATTCTAACCTCAGTACACTGTGAGCTTCTGAAAAACAGGCACTAGTAGGCAGCTACCTTGAGGTCAGGAAACCTTTTGGTCTGGCATCTTTAGAACAAGATAGGCTATTTTAGAGTACCTCAGAGTACCAGAGCAACTCATCTGGGAGATTAAGAAATGTCCTTTAACTTCTTGGGCTGGTATTTCCTGAAGTTCTAAGTTTTGATGCTTGCAAGCAAAATTATATTCATCCAGACCCTTTTTCATGTGTAAATTGGCTTTATAGGATTCCCACCATATGGCCCTGCCCATAGCTGCACATTTCTAGAGCCATAGCACTTACTAACTTTCTGGGCAGGGGTTCTTGAACAGAAGGCTCTTACAGTTAATGAACTCCATTTACCTATGATCCCTGGCTCTAAGCATTGATTCATCCATTTATCTATACATTCTTCAACTATTTGCCAATACCTCATCATGGACAGAAAAACTGAAAAATACAGAACTGTGGGCACTGACCTATGTTCTTCTTGACTTTAGTCTTTTCAGGTCATTGTGACAAATTTTCCTTGTTTCAGAAGGTAAAGAGATAATACAACATAAATACATCAGACACACAAGCTTAAATATCACAGTGTTTCTCTTATATAAGAATCCCAAAGTATAAATATGGATCAAATTTAAAAGCAATAAGAAATAGGGTAATAGTTCTTTTGCAAAAGAAAAGGGAAAGAAGATATCAGGAGGGCAGGTTAAAGAGAAGGAAGAGAAAGGAGATAAGGAGGAGAATTAAGATGTGTTTTGGTATCTTCTAGAAATAACAAATTATCTGAGAGATTAGAACATATATAATCAAAGCAAGAACATTCAAGCTAATAGGTACATTTATAAACCTTTTTGAGACTTAGCAATCACAACTCACTAGCTTTTAGACCCCTTTATTCATGGAGTCTAACAGTGTACTATAAGTCTCTGTGGCTTTAGTTAAGAGACGTCACACATGTATTAACTATCAACACAAAGTACTGGAGTTATATTAAAAATCAACTGGGCTTACATACTCAGCATGAAGTACAAAGCATTTAGTCGTATTAAACTAATGTCCCATTCAGTGTTTTGGATATGGCCCCCATGGTAAGCAAGGGGCACAGCCAAGGGATTTTTCCTTTCAACCCTGTGGCTCTGAGTTTTACATCACAAATACAATGCCTGACTCTATCTATAGGCCCAAAGCTATTGGGCATTGCATAAGCCAGTTTCTTTAGAATATTTTTACGCTGACAGGTTGTTATCTGTCCTTGGGAACCTATTTTAACTAGTGAAATAACTTTAAGTCTTTTACATGAATAACATATTACATCTGTAAAACATCAGTCAGTTGAGGTGTTTCATAGTAAAAAGGATACAAAATGGAATTATAGATGGAAAATAAGAACGGGGATACTAGCAGCCTGTAGGAAAGAAGGTAAATGTCCACAGTTGCTAGAGAAGGAAAAAGAAAGTGTTTATGATGGAGTCAGAGGAAGTTTTTAGATTAATAAGGTCATGCATCTTCCGTCTCAGTCTGAGGGAACCCTTGTTAACTGCCAGTATAAGGAGAAATCCTGTTAAACTTTCAATAGATTGCTTATACAGATTTGTCAGTAGTTATCCAGCCAGTGGCCCACTTGCAAATGGGAAAATACTGTTTTCCCTATGCCCGGTAATTCATGTTCCCCAGTAATAATAGGAAAGGTCAGTTTGTTTGAGACAGTACCCAATGGCCATGGAAGATAAAAGGATTATATCTCACATTTAAGAGATATCTGCTAAAAGACCTATGAAAGTTTCTGACTAGTGTTTTTCTTTGGCCAATGTATGTTTAATAGTTTCTTTGCCTTCATCTTCAAATTCAAAGCTGTAATGAAAATATGTGGTGTCTATTGAGGGCCTTTAGATAGAACCTCTGAAGAATATATCTGACTGCTGGTCAGTAACTATGACTTGTTTTAAGCTTGAAGAAGCCAGAGCAGTCATTACCCATATTTCCCTCATGGCAGTTCAGGTTACTTCTTCAGAGGGGGGAATGTTGCAGACAGCCAAGTTGGACAGAAATATTATAGGCAGTCAGACAGGGCCAGGCCCTCAAGGAGACAAGATGACTTTGCAACTTGGAAGAGACAGACACTCCCAAATGGGCCACACCTCAAGACCAAGACAAAAAGAGGAAGCACAGCTACATTCTTCCCTAGGGATGGGCATTAGGGATTGATATTCTAAATAGTATCAATCAACTTGAAAGAGCCCTATTGAGTCACTAGCCCAACCCCAACAGGAGGAGATCCTGTCCCACATTCCTGCCCTTTTGCTACATGACTCTCCCTTTTGGTACCAGATTTAATCAATTTTTACCTGAGCAATGGTGCTTGTAATCCCATTGGTTGACCATAGTTTTGTCCCACCTCCTGCCCACGTAAGTGAGTTCCCATTCTCTCCACCTTAGCCCAACATGGTTTTACACTATAAAAATCCCTGGAAGAAACAGCTTTCCCAGGGAACTACCTGCTCAGGGGCCCCCCTCCTGTCTCTCTCTTGGGACAGGAACTTTCTTTCTCTCAATAAATATATTCTGCTCATCAAAAAAAAAGAAAAAAAAAAGATGTGTTGTGTCCATGAACTGACTCCCTGTAGTGAATGTAATCATTATGTATTGCATTACATGCTAATAAAATGTTAAAAAATTAAGCTTAAAACTTCTTTGGCCCTGGTTTCTAATTTAACTATTTGTTAACAAATTTTAGAGTCTCATTTCCAGCTATTCAGGAACCACTGAAGATAGATGTTCATCTCCAGAGTTGTGTTTGATTTGATTTAATGTCAAGTCAAAGACAAGGGGAACAAGGATTTCTTCAAACATATTAGATTTCTTATTTTACAATGAGAAAGTGATCGCAAGTTTTAGGTATTTGCCATGATGGGAAAGTAGAAGGGCACTGTGAATTCCAACCTATGTTTACTTTACTAATGAACCTGAAGTGATGTATATCTTTAGGAAAATGAACTTTGAAAGTTTAAGAAGAGTCATTTTTTAAAAGCCTGGTTTTGTCATTGTACATCTTCTTCGGACAATTTTGATACCATAAGTAATATTTAACAATTGGCAGACCTAGATGGTAACTAAGATCCTTTGGTGATGTCTCCCTATAGTTATATCAGGTTGAACAGCTATTCACACACCAAACTTCATCCCAGGAGCTAAAGGCATCAGACAGAGCACAGTGCTATTTTAATTAAAAAAGAAGGAATAGACATTTAGAAGGACTTGTCAGCATTGTCCTTCCTTCAACTGTAAGCACCCAGAGCAAGAGATGACCCCTGTTGGGGGAGGTAGATAGATTCAAATTCATTGTATTTCCTTCAAACAGCAGTTTATCTGAGAGTTCTCCCATGCAGCTCATTGCTGGGTTGATCTGATCTCTTTTTTGATCACTGGGTGAGGTTGTACTTTCTTGAAAGCTCTTGATATTTGTGGGAATGTGACATTCTCTGGACAGTGATGGATTGGATCTTTATTCAAGTCTTCACAGTCTAGTTTATTTTGTCCAACTTTCCAACAATTCTAATAAAGCTTTTTATTTTTTTTTTTCTCTGAGATTGTGTTCCTTTCCACTAATCACTAGATAATGCACGAGGTCAGATGTGTTGTCATTATTTCAGTATCAGAGGGGAATCAAGCATTTGGCCTAGACATACTGACTGTGTTCAGACCTTAGTCTCCAAGCCTAGTACCAGTTCTGCCACAGTAAAACCCAGTGCTGGGCAAAGCTGCATGACTTCTGCCACTAGGGAAAATCCTAGGGAAAGAGTCTCAGGAGATCCAGTTGTCAGAGTGCCTCTGATGTTTCTCCAGTCTTGGGTGATAGTAGATCAAGTAGCCAGATTATACCTGCTTTGATCAGGGTATTAAATCTAGTACAAAGTCTTATCTCAGAATGTAGTGCCAGGTATGCTGCAGTGAGACCCAGCATCCTGTAGCATCTGCAGGCCTCCATGAAAGCCAGACCTCACAGAGAGCCTGTACTGGCTCACACATCAGGCAGAAGCCTGTGCAGCAGTGGGTGGGATAGGCCTTCATTTCAGCCACATCATTTCCAGCCTTGGAGTGCAACTTGCCCTCCTCTTGAACTTGTGCAGTATCTTCATCTTTATTATTTTATTAACTTACTATCATCTCAGGATGGCTTGTCATAATCATAGTTTGATTTTGTAAGCCCTATGGCAACTACAGAGCAAAAATCTGAAATAGACAAATCAAAAGTAAACAAAAAATCAAAACTCACTACTAGATCAATTTATTTATCCAGCTAGAAAGACTATACAAGTGGTCACTGGGGCGCATGGTCTCCTTTCTCTCTCAGGTACCTGGTTTCTGTAGGTTGAGTAACTTTCCTCTGCCAGAGCCAACCAATTACGGACAGAAACCTCTGAAAACTGAGCCAAAGTAAACCTCTCCTTCTATAAGTTGTGGGTGCAGGTATTTGGTCCAGTTATGGGAAAATCGCCTAACACTGGGAATGAATGCTATTGCCAGGTGCAAAGGCAGCAGAAGTTTTCAAGGAGTGGAAATGGCATGAGCAAAGGAACAGAAGCATTCCTGCAGGACTAATTCTAGAAATGCAAATAGCACCTGGCTGAGAGGAATGCCACAGGGGAACATAGTGAAATGCATTATCTGCACATACTCGGCATTCAGGCATTTGTTGAAAAAATAACTCAGTGAAGTTGTTATATGGAAATTTGAATCACCTAGCAGTCCCATATGGTGGGAGCATGCAGGAATGTGCATCTCTG